AAAGTTTTTGGTAATCATGATTCCCCATTAGATTGCTTTGAAGTCTTATAATGTTTCCATTCTTTAGTTAGAATGGTTTTATTCTGGGTTGTTTGATTTTATTATTTGTGATGGTATGAACAGCTATTTTGAAGAAAACAAGACATTGTAATAGCCAGCACTGATTTAATATCATCTTGTTTTAAAGTCCTACCATACTTTTGTTCTTCTGTTTCCATTGGTTCGATCATGTAGTATCTTATTGCATTTTATCATGTGTGGTAGTATAAACAAATTTTTATTCACATTGGGTTAATATAGTAACTATTGTTCATTTTCTGTTATTTGGTTCTGAATTCCTTTCATTCTCTTTAATGGTTTTATACTATTTTGTTATGTTTGATACTATTGTGTATGAAGGTATGCTCAACTATTTCAAGGAAAGAGACTTTATGGTAGCTACTGTTATACTGGTTGTCTTGTGGTGAAATACTGTGTTGCTTTAATTGTTCTGTTGTGATCTGCTTTGTTATGTCCTCTTTTATCTTAATCTCTTTAAAATAATTTTTTAAAAATTTCTTTATGTCTTCAATTTAATTCACTTGCTAAGTACTTTCCGGGGCCATAGAGTGTCCTTGACAGGGATACTGAAAAAGCTGAACACTAAACTCCCAAAGGACCACTCTCAGTAGGTACCTCGTTCTCAGCATGCATATGTCTAGTACCATTTATTAAGCTTTTCCCATATTTCTAGTAGTAATATCCTTTCAGCCCTTATAATAACCCCAATTAGTGGAGGCAACCAAAGCACAAGGTTTATTTACCCACAGTCCCTGCATTTGCAAGTCATGGTTATTTCATCTCAGGCACTGTAACACCATAGCTATTCATTATGCTATTCTGCCTACTGGTAAGGATTTAGGTAGAAAGCCAATTCAGCCCATGGGATTTGGAATCTTGTCCTTGCTGCAATTTGCTAATACTCCACTTCTGACTTTTGGACTGCAATAAAAATTCTGGCTCTGCTCTTAAACCTGTAGAACACTGTTTCTATTCACATAGAGAACTCTCGCTTCCTTTCACAATATTAAAGAATGGAACTTTCAGTAGATTTTTCATCATCACCACAGAGGTACCTGGGTCAGAATTTAGAACTAATTTTGATGTTCTTTTAAATTTTTTTTTGAAATAGTCTTTTTTCCCCAATTTTTTTTTTTTTTTTTTTTTTGAGACAGGATTTCACTATGTAGTTCAGGCTGGCTTTGGACTCACTTTGTAGTCCAGAGTGGTTTCGAACTCATACTGATCCTCTAGCCTCAGCCTCCTGGGTGCTGGGATTACAGGTATACACCACTACATCCCGAAGTCTTGTTAAATCGTCCAAGCTATATTCAGACTTGCACTGCTGGGATTACAAGCACATGCTGCCACACACAGGTTTGATGCACTCTTGAAGTCTACTAGGTTTGGGCTTGAAGCACCACCCTACAAATGATAGAAAATTAAAGAACTGATAGAATATAAACTTCCACAACAGCACAAACCAAATCCTAGAATTTCAGGAGTTTTAAATTCACAACAAATTCAAAATATATCAAGCAGTAAATTAAAATGTTTTTTGATCCATGTGCAAACATAAAATCCATTTCCAAGACTTTCAATATCATTAGAAGAGCCAGACACTGTGTATTCTCTAAAATTTATTTACAATTAATAAGTTAAAAAGGAAAGTACAACCAATTGTAAATCTTAATTATATGCACATAGACTGTCCAGGAAAACACTTCAGTTCCATTACAAACAACTGCTTTCTAATGCACTGAAAATCAAAGTTTATCAAAAAATATTTTTAAATCATCAATAAATGTTAGATATATATATCCATTAAAAATCACCAATTTAAAGAGTGCTATGGCAACCCTTAGGACAGTAACAACAACAGAAAAACTTGAGTTCAAAATTGTTCTGATCTTTTTGTATTCAAATATTTTTATTGACGTTTTCTGAAAAATAGTATTATCATTTGCACATAGCCAACCAAAAGTATCAGCCACCAGCTTAAGTTACACTTGTCCAACAGAATACTCAAACTTAGACAAAATAAATACACACCACAACAGCAACACTTTGCACAATCAACAGTGAAGCTTGCCCTCAACAATCATGTTACTGGTTTTAGTAACACAAAAATGAGTTGCTGGTTGTCAGAGAAGAGGACAAAAAAGACACTGGGAATCTCAAAAGGTTATGCGAGGTGTCACTCACCACTTGTAGGCATTCAAGTGAAAAATTAAATAAAAGAATACCACAGTGAGAGATTTACTCCCAGCTTCCCACTCTACACATGCCATTTGAAATGTAAGAGAAGGCAAGAGAACAAATAAAGGTCATGAGACTTCTTTAAAAAGCTATACACAGCTAAACTACTGACTTTTAGAGGACAGTTAAGTAGGTGCCTCATCATGAAGGCCACCATGCCAAGTTTCTTTTCACATTCATCCCAAAGGTACTCATAAAATACTCTACTTTCCTATTAATATACTAGTCAACTATAGTTTCTTCACATTTTAGATGTTGTGACATAGGTTTTGCTAAAGAAAACTTGGCAAAAATAAAGATATTTTTACATCTTCACAAACTAGAAATGGCATAATTTTTTAATAGTCCATGAACCACACTGAAGTTAGGATGGGCGATCAGATCTAAACTGTAGTCTGACAGCCCACAGAAGCTAAAGAAGCATTTACGCAAGTTCAAGTGCACTAAAGTAACAAGGCGTAAGAGAAAAAAATGTCAAGAACATCACCGAAAATAAATGCATGGTGTCACCGGTTATGTTTTCAATTGTGTGCTGAAGAATGTTCTTCTCTCAGCTAAAACTTACTTCAAAATCCTCTGCAAAACTATCTAGATAAGCTATGTTGAAATTACATTCTAATATGGCCATTGGATTTATTTTTTAACTATTATAAAACTATATACAATAGTGAAGTGGTACAAATACATTTTTTCAGATGCTAGTTAGCTATAAAAGTTAATATATTTTTGGGAAGAAAAGCGTTTTGTTTCTGAATTACAATTGGTAATGGAAGCGAATAACCAAAACAGTATGTCTCAGCTTCCTGTTACACAACTATAATTTAATACTTTCCATATTCTAAGTAATTATTTTTTTCTTACTCATTGACAGTGTTGGTAGCAATGTATTGAGTAGTACATAAGACTTTGAGGCTTACTGGGAAACTGGCATAAAGTCAAATATATATGAATATGCATCAGATTTTTACAAAATAGGAACACTGAAATTAGTCACAACACTGCTACTATGAACTATTAAACTTAAAATAATCATTTTAGAAAGCTATGCCATTTAAATTCTAGGAACACAAAAGTCAAAATTGCAACTCATCATTCTCCTAAGCAGCTGCCTAGGAGAGATAAAACCTTAGTAGAGAGAATTTCACATGTCAGGTTCCAGCCCAGCATGGATGGTTCCATGGCAGAATACTTAAATTTGTAATAATAGTGATAACAGAAACACTACTTGAACCTTTAGGTATTGCAGTAAAAGCTGGCTGTGGCATCACTGGCTAAAATTATTAAGTCTTGCTGCCACCAACAACCAAGGCACTTGGATAATCAAGAATTCCATCCTGGGCCATATGCTATATACATACGTCTAAAAGTGTACAAGGGTCAGTACTCTGTGGCTGGCCTGTGTGATTCCCGTGGCCTTCACCTGTCAAGGACTGCAAACATATTAACCAAAGAAGATTTTAAAAATTCAAAGGACAAAAATTGTCATGATGTTTATAAAGGCAATGAATATTAACTAGTTCTGGCATTTCTTGTTATCCAAAAACAAAGAAATAAAAGAGAACTATTTTGTTCAAAATAACTTTAACTTGTTATTTGATACCAAGAAATGCCCCCACCCCACAGATCATTATGTAATAGTTCTGCAAATTCTCATGGGTATTCTGTTGACCATCTTATTCACAACCTTAACACACGTTTACTTCTCCTATATAACTTCCATTTTAAAATGTTATTCTCCCTTAACATCCCTGGATATGTATGTTAGACCAGGACATGAAGCCAAAGTACCTCCAAATTGGATTCCAGGCATTCCTGTAACCAATACCAGTTCTTCACAATTTACTTTTTAAATCACAAGTCATGTGGTTTCAATGCACTTCAATTTTTATTCAATTAACAAGAATTTAACAAGCCAACTTTTCCTAAACAAAACTTCATATGAGCATTCTACCATTTTCTTTTGGAGCTCAGTAAATATAACAATTTTCAATAAAAAATTCTTCAAAACACTTTTTAAATATTTTAACAGTTGTACTTTTGCACCTCTTTGTAATCACTGAGCCCATGAAATTCAAAAAACGTACAAATCCTTGCATTACTAACAGTCATAAGCTTGAACCTCTTTTTTAAAAAAATCCTTGGTCAAAGCTTTAGAATCCAGTAAAAATTAGGAAACGAGTCGGATTCAGAATACCCTGAGCACAAACTAGTGCAACACAATCATGTTCGATCTTCTGTCCAGAAAAAAGGGTGGCAGTCAGGAAGTGGAAGGGGTTAAAAAAAAAGGAGGGGAAAGAGCAAGTGAATTCTGGCTTTATTACACAAGGACGAAAAACAAATTCCTTTGGAAAAGAACGACTTCTTCGGAGGACTTCCAGACCAGTGAGGTAGAGTCCAAAGGGAGAAACGGATCTGTCCCCTCAGTCCTGGAGACGTCGCCAAGTCGGGGTTCGGAAGCGAGGGGCGCCACGCGGCCCAGCCTTGTCCCGGTCCGGTCCGCGGCGTGCCTGTCCCGCAGCCCTCAGGCGGCCGCGTCCCGGGAGCGCAGGTCAAGCGTCGGGGACTCCTCCTCTGCGCCTAAAGTGCCCTGGGGGACGCGGTCGCGGCCGGTTCTGTAAACACTCGACTGACATTTGTCCCTTCCTCGCGAGGAAGCTCCGCCCAGCTCCCGGCAGGCCGGCAGGGGGCGCCTGCGGCTGCGCTCACGCCCGGGGCACCGGGAAGCGGCGGAGCCTCACCACGGGCTCCAGGTCCACGCGCAGCACTTGGCGCGCTCTGCGCCGCGCCGCCGCCAGGCTGCGCTCGCCCCACACGTCGCCGCCGACGCGAATGGTAGGGAAGGTGGTCAGCGTCGGGGTGGCCGCCCTCCAGATCTCCTCCAGGGTGCGGCCCCCGAAGCAGGGCGCCGGCGTCTCGGGCTTGTCCAAGCCGGGCTCCTCGGGCACCGGCGGGGACGACGGGTGCGGCCGGGGCCTCCTCCTGCCCGCGGCGGGCGCCCGGACTCCGCGGCGCCTCCTCCTGGCCGCGGCGCGCGGGCCGGGCCGGCGGCGGGCGGCCGCCGCGGCGGCGGGCGGCAGGGGCTCGGGCACCAGGGCCCGGCAGGACGAGTAGCCGTAGACGTCCTTGCTGCGCAGGATGTGCGGGGAGAACTGGTGCTTGAGGCTGCAGAGGAAGCTCCAGAGCTCCGCGTCCGAGCTCATGAACTCCGTGCTGCGGGGCATGAAGAGCTTGAAGGCGTCGCCCAGCGCCTTGGTGCTGTCGGCCAGCGACAGTTGCGACCGCGAGTACACCACCTTCTCGTCTCGCGCGTCCAGCCCGGCCTCTCCTCTTGCCCTAAAGCCGCCGCCCCGGGCGGCCGGGGGCCGGCGCCGCCGCCTCTTCATGCCGCGCCGTATCGGAGGCCGCTCGGGGCCGTCCCCGCCCGCGTCCGGCTTGGCGGCGGCAGCCGTGGGGGCGCCTCTTGCGCCGCGCGTCTCTCGCTACTTTTTCTCGCCCGGCCGCCGCCCCTCCCCCTGCGAGGGCGGAGGACGCCGCGGCGCTCGGGCCGCCTGGATCAAGATGGCGGCCGGCGCCCACCCCTGGGCTTTGTCATTGGACGGCGCCTCACCCCAAGGTTTCTCTTTCTTCTCCTCTCTTGCCTCCTTTGGCCCTCTGCCTTTCTTTAAATGGGCCTGCTTCAGGCCCCGCCCACCGCCGCCCCGGCTCCACCCATTGGGTGCTCTCAGAAGAGGGGCGGGGCCTGGTGGGGGGAGAGGCCAGTCCTTGAGAGAGACTGTTGGGGTGCGTGATGGTGGTGGTGTTGGACGCGAGTCAACAGTTGGGTGGGCATGGGAGGGTGGCCATGTCTAGAGCAGGAGGTAGATGATGGCCCCATCTTGGGGAGTGAGTGGGTCTGCGGCTATGGATGGAACTGGGAGATCTACCAGCCTGAATAACAAAGGGAGACAGCCAAAGACTTGCTAGAGTCACAGCTGGGGCTGAAGTCTACAGGGAGTGTGCCTCCCACGATTCCCTTCTAAATCCTGAGAGGCCCCTTTTGGCATCTTGGTTCAAAACTCCTCTCTTTTGACCCCTTGCCCCAGTCCATTGCAAGAAGTCAGTAAAAACTGAGGGAATGTGGGTAGCAGAGAGAAAAGCTTCCGTCAGTGGGACCATCTCCTATTGGAGAGATGTTTATAAGGGAAGCAAAGCCTTTCCTACTCCATGGCACTAAACCTTTGCACAACTTGATCAAAGATCAATTACAACAAAGCTATTCTGCTTGAAGAAAATAGAATTATGTTGAATATATCGCTCTATCTAGGTACTACCTCGTATTTCATTTGGTTTGTAGCACCGTCCCTATTGTTAGAAAACCTGCAGCATCCCATAGAGTCAGGAGACTGTTGGGAGGAGCACGTTGTTGAGGACACCTGACCTTTTTGATTTGAGAGGACATGGTTTTGTCATCTTTGCTACATTCCATGCTGAACTCAGTACCTGTGAGGACTGGACATTGGGTTTGCCTGCTGAATGTAACAATGAAAAAGCGATAATTATTTGAAATAGAGTAAGATAAAAGAAATGGTGAAATTGCATAGGAAAGGGTACTTTTATGTTTTTGTATTTATATTGCAGTTTTCACTTTTTTTAATTTACTTTTTTGGGGTTTTTTTTGTTGTTGTTGGTTCTTTGGTTGGTTGGTTTGGTTGATTTTTTTGTTGTTTTTGTTTTGTTTTGTTTTGTTTTGGTTTGGTTTGGTTTGGTTTGGTTTCCAGGGTTGGGGATCAAACTCTGAGCCCTCCTATCAAGCAAACTGTACCAGAGCTGTAGATTTCTTTTACATTTTTGCAGCTATAGAAAAAGTCCTGATATGTAGAACTTTGAAGTAGGCATGCAAATTTTACCCTGTAATAAACATATAATTTTGCAAAAGACAATAAAGAATTTCTGTGATTTATATATAGTACTAATTGTTCCCTTGAGTATTTGGATTTAAAGAGACCTAGTTCAATCACTTTTTTTCATAGATGAGGAAATTTTGACCTAAAGAGATTCACTGTTGCATCTTATTGATGGCAGAATTGGGGTTCAAGGTCTTCAGATCCCTAATCTAGTAATCTTTGTATGAACTGGTAGTTTTTCAAATTGTGCTGCCCTGTAATTCAGTGGGGTGATCAGGGGACAAAGTTGAACCCCTATTTCTATTTCCAACTCACGTATAACTGATCAGTTTTTATCTGTCCTAAGACTTAGTTAATATTTTGTTTGCACTAGTTAACAGTTTATTTAGTTTTAATAAATACTAAAAAATAATTAGGGCACTATAAAGTACCCTCTCCATACAGTGGGTTTATTGCAAAAATAAAACTTCTGACTGTGAACTAGTTCTCTATCATAGTAACTTTCTAGAGAAAAAATAATTTTCCCAAAAAGCACAGATAATTAAAACAACATTACGAGCTTATTAACAAGTTTTTTAACTCCTTATAAAAAATATACTCCATGGAACTAAACAATTAGTTTTCAAGTAATTCTGAGAATAGTGTGAAATTTGAATAACTTTTATAGGAATACTCCTGGATACTAACAGAAAACCCACAGAGTGAGCCCAGTGGAAAGCCAGGGAGACTTCAGAATGGAAGAAAAATATAAAATTAAGATAAATGTAGTTCGGCCTTCTTATAGTGCTATTCTCACAATTTCATGTTAATTATAATTTCATTACTCCTTTAAGACTTTTGACACATATGTGCTAGGCATTTCTCCAGATGTATAGAACTAATTTTAATTAAATATTTTTCAACACAATTTTGATTCTAAGAAAACACAGTATCTCAACAAATTACTGAAAATTCAAAAGACTATATTGCATCCTCAATGAATTTACTTTAAGCATACTATTTTAGTGGAAGGTTATTAGGAACCAGTATCATATTAAACTTTTAATTATTTTATAGTTTTTAAATTTGACTCTATTTATTCTTTTTCCATTATTAATTTCTTCTTGACCTCTACCTTTGGATTAGCACAAACAGTCGTATAAATCATTCCTTATCAATTCTTTCTAAGTGAGTAGAATTTGCACATAAAGGTAATGTATTTCTTTGAGGTCTGGAGATATTACAAAGTTTATGGAAAGGTGGCAGATGAAATTTTCCTTCCTGAGGAATGACAGTTAACAATCCTCAATTTATTCCTTTACCTCTCAAGTATAATTGTTCTTATATCTGATAGGTGACAGAATAAGCATAAACAGAACCAGCTGCATGTATCTATGTTCTGTATTTATAGTTTCATTATCAAAAAGTTGAAAATAAGTGAAGAAATTAAAAATATCTCTTAGCCACTTCAAATCTTTGCTTTAATATTCCACTTCTATCAAATAATTTGCTTCTTCAATAGAAGCCAAACAAAGTTATGTATGCAAGTTGCTACAAATATCAACTCTGGAATCAAACAGACTTGGGATCAAGTACATCTTTACAACAAAATATTTTGAGACTTTTTAAATCTAAGTCAATATTCTCATCTACAAAAATAGATGTAATCTCTATTCCAATGGGCTGTTTTGAGGATTACATGAGATACTATTTATAAAACCTTTAGTATAGTGCCTAGAACATGATTACAAAAGTTACAGCTATCTTTGTCCTTAATTTTGAGACTCTGAATTGGGTTAGTGATTTCAAACCTATTATAGGAAGTCTGGATATGAAAATAATATACATTGTTTGTGACAGTGTCTTGTTATGACTATGTAGTTCAGGCTGGCTTTGACCTCCCTCTGTAGCCCAGGCTGGCCTCCAAATGATGGCAATTCTTCTGCCTCAGTCTCCCAAAATTGGGATCATTGGCATGTACCACCACACCTGGCTCTAGATATTTTTTTAAAGTAATAGAATTGTTGCAATGAAAACAAATATGTTAGAGCTAAAAGGAACCTTAGAGATTATCTAATATAGCCCACATTCTGAATTTAGATGGGAATCTTGAGATTCTACAAATCTACCCAAGGTCACAGAACTGGACAGTGGAAGACTCAACTAGATTTTAGTTCTCTACTAGCCAGTAGTTATTTCTAACATTCTAAATTTTGTATTTAATCCAAAGTCATAACATTAATTTTTAGTTTCAATGATGTTTAGCATGATACATCAAGAAAAAAATTTCAGCTTTTTCATTAGACCCATTCTAAAGTAATTTACATTGTTCCACAAATATTTCATAGCTGTGATATGCTCTAAAACTGCTTAGTGTAAAATACATGAAAACCATGTAAACTGAGAGGCTAAGACTTCTTTCAGGAAGATGCACTTTCTATATTCCTCCTGCAAATTATAATTTAAAGCTCTGGAGACTGCATGCAAAATAAACGTAAGAATACTTTCAAAAAATGGAAAGAAGAAGGCAGGCCGGCTTGGGATCTTAAATGGTAAAGAGGGGCATCACAGTGAGTTCCCTGGTTTCCTTTCCTCCCAGATCTGAAATTAGTTGCTGGAGAAGCCACCAGCCCAGGACTACTAACAGATGTAAACTTAAATAGTTTCAGCAAAATTTTGTTTTCTGGGACTAGGAAATGGGCAGTCTAGCAAGATAGAAATCTTTTCGAAAATAATTGCCCTCCTGCCATAAAATACCACAAATGAAACATACAACTGCTGACCTGGCCAGGGTATAACAAGGTACACGCACATTCCTGCTCATCAGAGGAGGCTAGATAAGGAATCAGAACTTTTATCCCTTCTAGGCAGTAAATAGGCAGTCTCCACTCAATATATATGTGGAAACGCTCCTACCCCTCCACCCCTAGTAGGCACTCCAAATTCTCATGCCCACCTAACACTAGTTAGGAGCCCCTCACATTGTCTCTCTCCACCTTGGTCTCATTAGAAGCAGAGTTAGAAATCTAGATTCCTTGCTGGCAGTACGGAGGCAGTTGGAACAGTGTTAGAGAAAACCAACTAAAACATTTATGTAAGTTTCAGAGTCATAATGGAATACCTAAAATATCTGGGTTTCAAGTCAAAATCACCAAGAAGCTCTTAAACTGAATGAAAAAAGATGTTAGAATTATATGACAGTTTTCAAGTAATCATAAAAATAGATCAACAAATAATTATTACTACCTTAAAACTTAGGTATTAAGTGAGAAACTAGAAAACTGGTTAGGATTAGGGTTAGGGGAGACTCACAAAATAAATGAGATATAAAGTAGTTCAAATGGAAATTTTAGAACCACCATTACAAAAAGTTTCAATGAATGACTCAATATTAGAATAGAGAAAACAGGGGGAAAAATTGGTAATCTCAAGATACAATAGTAGATGTTATCCAATCTCAAAACAGAAAAATGAACAAAACATCAGGGACTTGTGGGACTGTAAGATCTAATATTTGTTTC